CTGCCCAAGAGATCTTAAATGTACTGATATGTTAACCGCATTGCCACATATCTTTCTTAGTCCTTACCCCTTTCTTGTCTACCTTAACATGTGACATGGAGGGCTGGAGAGATGGCTCAGCATCTCTCCAGTACTGGCTGTTCAGTTCCCAGCAACTACATGGTGGCTCATCTATAATAGGATCTGATGTCCTCTCCTGACATGCAGAGTACCCATACATTTATTCTGTGTGTGTGTGTGTTTGTTGGAAGTTGGTATTAAGATTGTGAACTATTATGAAAGGAGCTTTTTTTTTTTTTTTTTCCCTGTATTGCTTTGGAACCTGTCTGGAGCTCCCGCTGTAGACCAGGCTGGCCTTGAAATCACCTCCAGAGTGCTGGGATTAAAGGCGTGTATCACCAACACTCTTCTATGCACCCCTCTTCCAGTTCAGAGTGAGTGGAAAGGGATAAACAAGAAAAAAATAGTAATATGGATTAGGAAAAAGATGAGGCCGGAGAGATGACTCAGTGGTTAAGAGCATTTGCTGTTCTTGCCAGGACCCAGAACTCAGCAGGTGGCTCACAGTAACCTCAACTCCAATTCCAGGGTATCTTGGTACCCTTTTTGGCCTCCCTCAGCACCAGGGATGCACATGGTACACATGCATGCATATGTACACTCACTCTCGCGCACACGCGCATACACACATATATATGTATGTGTTTTCCTCCTTAAAAAAAAAAAAAACTCCTTGTCTGAACCTATTGGCCCTCATTAATACAGGCTCCCACTCTATTTGGTGTTTCTGTAAGCTTCTATCTTCATAAGCATGTTTTTTTTTTTAATTCTTTTATTTAAATTAGAAACAAGATTGTTTACATGTCAGTCCCCGTTCCCTCTCCCATCCCTCCTCCCCTAACCCCCACTAACACCCTACCTATCCAATACCATTTGCGCTCTCCAGGGAGAGTGAGGTCTTCATGGGGGCTCTTCAGAGTCTGTCATTCCCTTTGGGATAGGTCCTAGGCCCTCCCCAGAGTCTAGGCTGAGAGAGTAGGCATGTTTCTTTAGGTTTGTAAAGTTTTCTTCTATTATTTTGTTGAACATGTCTTCTATGCATTTGAGCTGGTAATCTTCTATTATTCTTAGGTTTGGTCTTTTCATAGTGTCCCAGATTTTCTGGACATTGTGTCAGATCAAAGCAAATACTCTGGTCTATGTTATCAGGTAGACACAGAAATACATTGTATTGACTGTAGCTATTACTGTTTGCCTAGCTAATGAGAAAAGAGCTGGGAAGTAACACACACATTTAATGTTAGCTTTTGGGAGGCATAAGCCTGAGGATCTGTGAGTTCAAAGTCAACCTGGTCTACAGAACAAGTTCCAGGACAGCCAGGGCTATACAGAAAATCTGTCTCGAAAAACCAAGTTGTATAACTACATGTATGAGTTATGCTAAAATATTCTGAAATTGATAAGCAAAAACTATTGATCAAGAAGAGAACTGAGAATTGCCATATGTGCTAAGTGGAAGAAAGAAAAGGTATGGAAGCCCAATGAGAGGTGATACTCGAGAGTCCCCAGAAAGGAAATTGGTTTGCAGATGTGTAGACTCCTGGCTAATGGTAGCTAGGATGCTGTTTCCCAAGACCTATGGAGACTGCAGGCTCCTTGGGACAACGTTAAAGGACTTGGCTGAGGAATTAATAGTTAATGGAACAGAAGTTGGGGTGAGATGGGTCAGCAACAGGTGCTTGCCAGAAAGTCTGATGACCTGAGTTCAACTCCTGGAACTCACATGGTGGAAACAAAAGAATGGACTCAACGCCAGGAGGAACCTGCAAGCTGTGGAATATATACACAGACATATACACACACACAATGAATAAATGTAACCACCAAAACAAAAAAATAAACCAGAAAGCACCAGGAAATTCACTGAGTTCATGCCTGATTCCTGTTGTGAGGGCAAGATAGTAGGAAGACTGTATTCCCAAATGGAACACAAGAACAGTGAGGGTGTTCTAGACATGGGGATGCTGCAACATCTCCCAGTGAAATACATCCTATTAAGGGTTGTTCCTCCTGGAGCTAAAGGCAAAGCACTACACAGAAGCTGAAACTAACCCAAGATGGGAGATCTGATAAGGCAGAGCTGCTACTGCAGCAAGGGTTCGGGCACCCAAACCCTTCTGAAGCCTAGAAAGCAAACAACAAGTGCTATGGAAGCAGCTCTGTGGAAAGGGAATAGTTGTGCATAGAAAAGGTTTAGGTGGGTATGAAATAAAGTCAGACTCTAAAGCTAACACTAAGGGTCTGGCTGGCTAGCTTTGCTACCAGATGACAATAAGCCCTCTGGCAGAGATAGTTTGACAGTTGCGAGTGCTTTGGTACACTGATATTTATGCCTTTAGTGCATCAATAGACAAGTCAGACTTCATAGTCCATAGATTCCTAAGCTTTGATGGGAACATTTAAAGCTTCTAACCCAGTAGTAACATGGAAATGGATCAAACTCCATCACTAAATCTGAGGTCTGACATTCTCAGATAAGAAGTGGGGAACTGATGTGGCTCATTTGTGGCTTGTGTAGGTTTGAAGGTGACATTCTGTTATTGAGCTATCACATTAGTAGGTGCCTTAAAAGACACATGACTGTGTGGTATGTGTGGATGAGTCCAGGTGCCATGGTGCACATAAGGAGAGAGGAAAACTCCAGTCAGCTCTCTCCTTGCACCTTTACATAGGTCCCAGGAATCAAACTCAGGTCCATCAGGTATGCAGGGCAAGTGCTTTCACCTGTGTTTTTGTCTAAACAAGACGTCCATGTTTCAGATCATGCCAATGACATGCAAGAAGTTTATCAAGGCTATGCTGGCCTTGACGCCAGCACAAACTGTGCAGTATAGTACTAAAACATTCTAATGTGAAACTTACAACTTCCAAACTTTTTAGATGAAACTGGGCTTTTTATGTAGTCCCTATGTTCCCCCCAAACCTAAAACTCAACATTCTATTATTCAGAACCAACAAAGTACTATAAATGATTCTTTTAACCCGTGGAATTACAACAGTGATCCAAAAGCAAGGTACTTTTTAAGACTACCTACTTAGCAGCCCATATGCATGTACATCAAAACATTGGCAGTTTGAATTCACCATGTTTTCCAGCTGGCACTTCACCTTGGAAGTACTTAAAAAAGAAAACTATGTATTAAATATTCACTGACTGAGGCAGACTAATAAACTGTGCCATTTAACTAATTTTATTAAAATGTATTTCTCTGTAGTTGAACTATCTCATCAAATACTAAATCAAAACATCAGGGTCAGGAAGATGCTTTCCATGTATTAAAAAGTGCTTGCACGGATGCCTGATAACACTAGGTTCAATTCCTAAAACCATCTGGAATGAAATCTGGTGAGCTCTTCTGGTGTTCAGGCATACATGCTAGAATCTGAACCTTCTTAATACCATTAACCTTCGAAATAAACTTTGCTGGAAAGACGACTTCACTCAGAGGTATGGTGAGGGCTAAGAGAGCACTCCTATAAAACACTAGTGAGTGGTTCAAAACCACAGAAATCTATGGGGATGAAGCCCTCTTCTGGCCTCAGCAATTACACTGTAGGTAATTTAATCAGATTCATGTGTTCATTACTAATGCTTTGGCCTAGGGCATTGAAGGTCAAACTCTGAGTATCTAGAATTTTGTTTTCATTCATGGGATGCTAAAGCCTTGCACATACAATGTTTCTACTAAGATTAGGAAGGGATATACATTGATGCTTTTAGTGATAAAATAGGACCACTCCCTAGCTATTATAATCTACCTGCATTCTTGAAGTACGCAATCAATCGCTTGAAATTACAATAACCAGTACCAGAAATAGAAATTAATGAATAAAATGGACACTCAACTCTGAACTGAATCTGCCCCAGCATCTTAAAAACACCAACTTTTAAAAAGATTTATTTATTACAGTGTTCTGCCTGCATGTGTCCATGCAAGCCAGAAGGGGGCACCATTACAGATGGTTGTGAGCCACCATGTGGTTGCTGAGAATTGAACTCAGGACCTCTGGAAGAGCAGGCAGTACTCCTAACCTCTGAGCCATCTCTCCAGGCGAAAAACACCAACTTCTAACAGCACATTTAAATAGGTTTTACTTATTACCATCTTGGGCCTCTGATACTTTGTAAATATATAGCAGACTACCCAGAATAAAGTTAAATTTATCAATTCACATTAAAACCCAAGACCATTATCAAGATTATTGGTTTGGGGGGAGGGTGACAATAAAAGCCATTTTATATTACGCACACTGGGATCCAAGGGCAGCCCAGCCCCAGCTCAGCCTCTACTTTCTACTCAAGTTTTTGACATGTTACATAAAGGGAAACATTTGTCTTCAATGCATAGAATGAAAACATAATCTTGCCCTGCATGCTATACCAAATAACATCTTTTTGAGAAACAGAAGGTCTGAGTTCATAAGAGAACCATTTTATAACCTGCTATGCAAAAAAAAATAAAATAACAATGGTAAATTACAAATAAACCGGGTGTCAGGACCAAGAAAATAGCACAAGCCTCAAAGCTTCTTCAAACCTTTAGCCTTAGAATGTGGCACAATGTTCAAAATGACAAACTAATGTAACAGGGGGAAAACCCAATCATATGGGTAATTATAACCCATATTATATTCTCAGTTCTCTGGAAAGCTAATGCTACTATAAAGGAATAGACAATGTTTTTCAATTTTCAGCAACTCTGAGGCACAAGCCAAGAATCCAGTAAAAAAATACCCAGGCTTCTAAACAGTAACTGAAGCAACCAACCACTCCATGTCAAAATTATTTAAAGACTCATCTTGAAATGATTTTTATTCACATATATTGATACGCATGATTATGACTCCCAAGAAAATTGTATTTAATACAACCTGAGATTTTGTGGATGCCGATAAAAAGAGCAAATTATTTTAATAAAAAATTCATATTTTCCTTCAAATTCCTGGTTTAATAAGGAATTGTTTATTTTGAGAAAAAGATCCCAAACATCAGGCTGTTCACAAAAATAACCCATGGTATTAACTTTAGAAAACAAATATTAAGACTATTACACTATTTTCCTGTAAGATGCATTTGACATGCCAACTCTCATTCACAAAAATACATGGTTACATTCGTGTTGAACAGCCCCACTCATGTGAGGGAAAACACACACCTCTAATGCAAAGCTGCTCTCAGGGTTACAAGTAAATGAGATGCTTCTGCAGTTAGGGAAGCAACTACTGAAATCATATGAAGAACTGTACTCCCTGCATAACAAGAGATTATTTTGGAGACAGTTGATAAAAACCATACATCTTTTTATTGTTAAGTCAAAGAGGTATCAAAATTAAAAGCAAAACTTACAGGGTAAGACTTAACAAAACTACTAAGGAGCATCAAAGGAAGTGAAAATGGAACTAGGCGCAAGGCAATTATGAATCAATGAACACAGGAAGGATGAGGAGTGGGCGAACAGTGAGAATGTGCTGAAGATACTAGGGGAGAGGATCTGGTGTTACTTTCATCTCTCACAAGCGCCTAGGTAAATGAATAACAGGGTAAGTTTCTAAACTCCGCTATGTGCTTAAGAGTCATCCTCCCCATTGGCGCTGTCTCTGTCATCTTCTCCTTCCTCAGCCTCTTTTTCATCATCCTTGATCAATTCCAGCTATTGAGAAATAAACAAGGCAGAGTTAGAGGTACTCCTTTTATTTCTGGACTCCGTTCCCCACACCTTTCCCCAGGTACTAACCTGGTCATCCCCCCGATCTTCATTGTCATCGTCATCCAGCAGGTCACCCTCCTCAGCAGAGTCATCTGCACCTGCCTCAGACTCCATCTTCACATTGGTCTCATCTTTTTTCACAGAGGCACTGCTCTGTTCTTCTTCAGACTTTTCATTCTTCATCTCTACTGGGGATGAGAAGGACAAGTCTGTCCAGGGGCAAGTGTTGCCCACAGGATATAGAGTTCTCATTAATCAAAGAATATAGTTTTCCAAACAAATTTAACCCCCCAACACCCCCAATATGCAAATATCTTAAAATAACCCAATTTTACTTGAAACAAGCACAAGACCATTACCTGCTTGTTTGCTCTGTTCCTTTTCAATTTTTTCTAGGCTTTCCAGAAGAGAATCCACTTTTTGTTTTATCTGAGTCAGCTCCTTCTTAATGGCCTGAAGGTCATCTCCTTTCACTGTAACAAACAAAAAGTTAGACTAGAATAAAACATAATTTACCAGTTGCTGAAAATGCCCTCCTTCCAGGGGCTAGGCTTTTGAATTGACTCTCAGCACTGCCGCAGGGGGAAATTCTTTGAGATACACGCACACACACATACTCGTGTAATGGAGACTTTTTTCTTTCCTATAATCCTTTGGAGCCTGTCCTGGAGCTCCCTCTATAGATCGGGCTGGCCTTGAACTCACAGAGATCTACTCCTCTGCCTCCTGAGTACTGGGTTTAGGCAAATGCCACCATGCCCAGCTTGGTTTATTTTTTGGCAGAAGGTTTCTCAGTACCCAATGCCATCCTCCAACTAGGAGATCCACCTGACTTTGCCTCCCAAGTGCTGGGAGAGAACAGGGTATGTGTGCCTGTTCCTGCCTCCCTAATATGGTGAATAAAGCTATCACTTTGCTGGTCCCATCATTCTTTTTGAGAATCTCTCCATGAAACAAGAACTCACTGATTTTGCATGGTTAGGTCCAGGGTTGTTCCCCTCTCGGCCTCCCCAGAGTTAGAATTCAAGGTAAGTAAGGTGTGCTCCACTTGGGATCCAAACTTATGTCCTCGCTCCTTGCAGGACCTTTACCAACTGAGCATCCCCTTGCCTCCCTCATCTCACTGTTTAAGTACACACACACACACACTATGAGTATCTCCAATTTAAAATAAACACAGGGCAGAAAAATAGCTAAGTGTCATTTTTGCACCCATGTCTCAAAACTGCAACTCCAGCTCCATGGGAATTAACATCTTCTCTGACATCAACAACTCCCCCACATACACATATGTAAAAATAATAGTAATAATAAAACATAACATTTGGAGGCAGGATGCACTGCACAAAAACACACCCTCACAAAAGATAAATAACACTTACACTTTCCAGACTTGGATGATGATCCCCGCTGTCCACTCTTTGAATTAAATCCACTTTTGCCCCTTCGAGAGGTGTTTCCAGAAACACGCTGGCGTTTAGAAGGCACCACAGCTCGAGCAATAGGAGGAGGAGGAGGAACACGTGCTGGGTAACTGTACATCCTAATGGGGAAAAAAAAATTTAAAGATTTACAATAAAGAAATCAAAATCAGGAATTAAGGAAATGTCTGGAGATCTACAAAGATGACACCAGCTAACAATCTAAGCAACAGAGGAGGCTATACCTTAAATGCCCTCCCCTGATAATGAGATTGATGACTGACTGATAGCGCTCTTCCAGCAGCTGATGGAAGTAGAAGCAGACACCCACAACTAATCACTGAACTGATCTGGAATCCAGTTGCAGTAAAGAATGAGTGATGGGCAAAGGGGTCCACACCAAGCTGGTGAAACCCACAGAAACAGCTGACCTGAACATGGGGAAGCTCTTGTTCCCCAGACTGATAGCTGGAATACCAGCATGGGACTGGTCCAGACCCCAGGAACATGGGTTTCAGTGAGGAAACCTCGGAAATCTACAGGACCTCCTGTAGTAGTTCAGTACTGATTCCTAGCATAGGTGTGGACTTTGGTAGCCCAATCCACATAGAGGGATACTCTTTGAGCATAGACACACGGGGGTCTATGTGTGAGATAGGCCTAGGCCCTATCTCAAAGGATAGGGTAGACTCTGATGACACCCTATGGATGGCCTCACCATCCAGGAGGAGCAGAAAGGATATGTGATAGGTAGGGTTTTAGTTGGGGAGGGTGGTAGGGGAGGGGGAAGGGAGCAGGAACTGGGATCTTGTTTCTAATTCAAATAAAAAAATCTGCAAAAAAAGAAAGCAAGAAAGGAAGCAAGGTTTACAACAGTGGCTTGTTTCTCTATGAGGAATATTCAACAGAATGTTATTTATAATGAACTGCCTTGCCTTTTCCAGCTCCACCATCTTAAACAATACTCCCATTTACTTTCAATTTCTGTGGGACAAGGAGTTTACTATGGCTACATCTTTTGGGTTTTAGGCTGCCTGAAAATCCCTGAAATTTATGTCGTAACACTCTGAATTAAAAAATAAATGTGGGGCTAGAGAAACTGGCTCAACAGTTAAGAGTACCAGATGCTCTTCCAGAGGTCCTGAATTCAATTCCCAGCAACCACATGGGGGCTCACAACCATCTGTTATGAGATCTGGTGCCCTCTTCTGGTGTGCAGATATACATGGAAGCAGAATGTTGTATACATAACAAATAAATAAAATCTTAAAAAAAAAAGACCTATTCCAAAAAAATAAAAAAATAAAATAAATAAAAAAAAAATGTGGTGTAGCATGCCATTAACACTGGCAGAGGCAGATAGATCTCTTTCAAGACCAACCTTGCTCTACTTACTGAGTCAGAACTACACAGTGAGACCCTGACTTGTAGGTTTAAGTTACTTACCTCCTTTATTTGGAACATTACACAAATCCACAAAGAAAAAGTTCATTTTGTACACACTTCCTACCTCCACTATTCATTAGTCATATTATAATAACTGTTCAGATCAATATTACATCACCGCACAAGTTCTGTTGGAAAGTACATTTCTAATTTGTTCCATCCATATGGCCATCCACTTATGGCTCAGAGTTAATATTCAAAGAACATGAAATTCATTCTAAAATGTTCACCTAGAATTCTCACATTATTCAATATGCTTGGTATAACTTCACATACATTTCCTATGATCACAAAGCAGAATGGTAAAACACAGAAAGATTAAGAAGGTCAATAAATAAAACCACATACAAATATTCACACACAAACATGCACAAACGCAAAAATGCTCAAAAATATCAATACTAGGGTTTTTTTTTCTTAAATATTTGTATCTGATTGCTGTGAGGAAGGTCAATACTTACAAAGCTACACAGAGAAACCCTGTCTCAAAAAAAGAAAACAGTAAGGAATGAAGAATGACTAGGGGGCACTTGGAGTTTCTGAACTGTTTTGTGTTTGCCTGGGAGATGGAGTGGGGTGGTGGTGGTGTCTATTTAGTTCTGGCTGTCTATCCTGGAGAAAACGGTAGAAATTCACCCAAGTCTGTCCCTAGCTGGTACTTAAGGCCTCTACATTCATGAAAATTCCATGCTATGGTGTTGAAGATGGCTCAGGGAATGAGAACACCCCTAGAGGACCCACATTCCAATCTCAGTACTAATGATGGGACCTCATACCTGCCTGGAAAAACAGCTTATATGATAAGCCTTCTTCCAAGGGCTGTAGACATTCAATACATGAGGCAGACATTTACACAAATCCATTCACAAGAGCTGGAGTAGGGTTTGTCTTTAATTGTTATGCTTTATAAGCAAGCATCCTACTACAGAGGTTTTAACTGAGTAGAAAGCAGCATGTTGGAAACATGAGCTTAAGCTGCCTTTTTAAATAATATCCAAAAAGGAAACAAAACTATACATACCTGTCATAGTAATCCCGCTGAAAGTCATAGTCCAAATCAAATGAGGAACTGAAAAATAAATAACAAAAAAGATGATTTTGGAGCTGCTGTTAAGGCAAAAGGCAGATGGGGTGAAAACAGGCCAAACAATCCACAACAAATAGATCAGTAAGATTAGCAATGAATCACCATTCATTCAAACAAATCATTTGCGCTCCATTGTTATCTTAGACCACTGGACATGCAGTGATCAAATTAGTAAATTCATGTAAAAATTTCAACAAAGTAACTTATTAACCAAACCAAGAACACTAAAAGAAAACAATAGTTGTTGAAACCACAATCCCTTCTCCCTTCCTTATTCCCAAGCTTTCTAGAACCTAACAAATTCCTCTTGAATTTATGATACATACACATAAAATTATTGTTAAACAGCAAAATCTCAGTGCAAGGAAATAGGGGCAAAGGGGAAGTATGTTAACACACGTTAATAAGCATTACACTTTTGCACATACAAAACACATCGCGCTACCCTCCCCACATCCAGAAACACAGAAGTTGCCCACTGATGGACACAATGCAGTTATAAATAATAAAGTTCCGGACCTGAGTAGAGGGGACGGAGAAGGGTGTTCTGGTACTGACCCGTACATCTCCGCTGCAGATCGTTTGACACCTGCTTTTCCTCGGTTCACTTTTGGCTCTGCAGCCAGATTAATATCTGGAAAAAAAAGGAAAACAAAAAGGGGGGGGGGTTAAAAAACAAGAACTCAAGGCAAAAAGACTGGGCTTTATTTCCCAGCAAAGCTAACAAGCCTGTATTCAGACTACAGTTATTACCTAATGTGTAACATTAACTTTCCTCACTAAAAGGTTTTACAAAGCTACCCTGTATGGCTAGAAACCAAAACTCCTCACATTAGTTTTTCTTTGCTACATATCCCTAACTCTTTCTCCAATTTGTAAAATTGATTCATCTTTCTTAACTTTTTACTCATGCACTAACACAGTTAAAGGATCACATCAGTAGCTACTAACTGGTCATTTTTTCAATAATGTTTCTATTATTTTTCACAAAAAAAGCTTGCACTAACTGCAAAGATAAGTGTGGAAATTTATGTATACCCTTAAAGTCATTCTCAACGCCATTACTAAACACAAAAGTACCCTGACAACTTCTACACATATACCCACCCATCCATAATAATAATAAACATCCAAATTTCAAAGTACAAAACAGATCTGGCAAGATAGCACAATGGTTATAGCACCGGCTCTAAGTCAGGCAACTGAGCTCAATGCTCATGCTCCACATGGTAGAAGGGAAAAACCTACTAAAGAAGTACTAAGTTAGATCCTGACCAGTAAGTGTCCATGTGCACAAACACAAAACAACTTTTCTTTAAATTTAAGGACACACTATTGGGACAGTAAGATCAAGGGACATTGAGTGATTAATGTACAAGCCTCAATGACTAAAACTGGTTCCCAGAAACCATATAGCAGAAAAAGAGGACTCTAGCAAATTGTCAACAAATGCAAACCTTTTAAAACACAATCTAGTTTTTAAGGACTAATCCAAAGATTTACTTTCTCTATCACTAGCTACAACGACTCTTCTCACTAGTTCTAACAAATAAGCCTAAAGGGAAGCAAAACAAATGAAATACCAGACCAAAACTGGGTCTCTAAAACAAGTTTCACAAATGATAATTTCAGATGAGCACAAGTAGATACATTGGCACTGAGTTTTTAGCTAAACTCTTCCAAACCATGTGTGCTTGCTTAAAAAAAAAAAAAATTCATATTTTTATTGTATACAACATTCTGCTTCCATGTATATCTGCACTCCTGAAGAGAGCACCAGTACTCATAACGGATGGTTGTGAGCCACCATGTGGTTGCTGGGAATTGAACTCAGGACCTCTGAGCCATCTCTCCAGCTTCCCCCCCTTTTTAAATAAAATTCATTATACTTAGTAAAATAAGAACAGTAGAACTAAACTATCAAGAATTCTTTCGGACAACCTTACTGTATTTATTCAATATTCCTAATGGAATGCAAAAAAAAAATTTAAAGCCCTTAAATATAATGCTGAATTTAGTCATTGTCCATAGAGAGTCTGCTGCGAAACTTAAAACAAGCAAAATAGAAATGGTATTATATCCTAATTAGCATAGTATCAGTAGTAGTAGTAGTCAGGGGATTTGCAAAGTGATTGAAACTCTAGTCTGTGTGTATATCCTCCTCCCTGCCTTCCCGAGCACTTTTACTCTCTCCTTTCTTGCTCTTTGGTCTTTACCCACAATACACCTACGTATATACAAAGGTGTGAACATTACATAGGAAAGAACACTTAGTCTTTTCACTTCAGTACTTATTTACCCATTTTCTTTTTTGGTTTCTCTTTGGAGGCTGTCCTAGAACTTGGCTCTTGTAGACCAGGCTGGCCTTGAATTCACAGAGATCCGCCTGCCTCTTCCTCCAGAGTGCTGGGATTAAAGGTGTATGCCACCATGCCTGGCCTTTCCTGTAATTTTTAGATTTGTTTCTCTTTTGAGCTTTTTAAAAACTTATTATGTTACAAACAGTTGTGAGCTGCCATGTGAGTGCCAGAATGGAACTTGGGTCTTCTGGAAAAGGAACCAGGTCTTAATTGATTAGCCATTTACCCAGCCCATTTGCTTTTCTTTATTGCTAAATATAATTTCTCTAAATATACAAATACATCATATAACATAATATGAAATTTAATCACCCAGTCGTTTATGTATATCTAGGCTGGTTTCATTTCTTTGCTATATAGCCGTATGTACATGTACAGAATTATCTGCAGTAGATGGAGCACTCTACTTAGGGCCAGTACAGCTGGCACTTGTCAGTGGTAATTTCTGTGAAAACCAGCAGTGGATGTTTCTATCCTTACAAACTGGTCAGTATGTTAACTTCAGTGTTGATTAATTAAAGATAATATGCTTGCTTTTCCTTAAAAAATGCATTAAGTCCAACAAATGGGATAGGCTCCAAAGCTACAGAGAAACTCCAAAAAACAAAAACAAGCTTTTAGGCCAAAATGTTAGCAAACAGTTTTAATCCCAGTATAATAATTTGAGTTTGAGGTCAGTGTGATCAACATAGTTTAAGTCTCAGAACAGAGAGGGCTATGTAGAGACCTTGTCTCACCAGCCCTTAACACAGAAACAAAAACAAGTTTAAGCCAGGGAGACAGAGGCAGGCAGATCACTGAGTTTGAAACCAGCCTGGTCTACAAGAGCTTGTTCCAGGGCAGCCTCCAAAGCCACAGACAGGGAAGATTCTAATCACATCAAATATAGCTAAAAGACTAGCTTTACAAACAAGTCAGGGAAACAAATATCTAAATGAGAGAAAAAAAAGACACTACTCGATTATATGTAAAATAGTAAAGTGTAATATGCATATACAAAAATGTCATAATGAAACCCAGTACTTTGTAAGCCACACAACCCCCCCCAGTTCAAGCTTGAATTTTAACAATATAAACTTACCTAAAACCTGGCCAGCAATCATTCTGCCATCTTCTCCAGCTACAGCAGCCCGGGCATTTCTTTCGTTAACATATTGAACAAAGGCAAAGCCCTTATGCACAGAGCAACCCACAATTTTGCCATACTTTGAAAAGATTGCTTCCACGTCAGACTTCTTGACCACAAGTGTGTTGAGATTTCCAATGAATACACGGGAATTCATGGATCGAGGATCTGTCTTGTTGGTAACATTGCTAGCCATTTCCTTTGATGATAAGGTTTCTCACAAAGCTGAAAACTGGGGAAAAAATGCATTCAGGTTAGCAGACATTAATGGTTTTTCATTTGTACCACTGTGACTATCCAGGTATCAACAGGATTCTCACAGTATCAATTATATATTAATACTCCTTTTATCCCTCTTGTACTAGCAAGACCTTCATCCTTCATAGTAATTCCAAGTGATCTTTCTGAAATCAAATTGTAATTCCCTACACTTTTTTACTGCCAGAGTTTGGCCTTTTTTGCCTTCCTGGTTGTCAGAATCTTACAATTAGTTCTAACATAATAAGTCTCAATTTTCTCAAAACAGACCAACTTCAAAACTTATCTTTCAAGTATAAAGATAGTTTATACAAAGGCAAATATTTCCAACTAGTCAGATACTCACTTGGATTTGACTTAGCATGTACTACTACAAAGTATGTTAAAGCCACCTTTTCATATAATACAATCACTCTAAAACTACTTTTTACACCTGGAATATTAATATTGGATGGTGATGATGATAAACTACCAGTATAACACAGAAAAATAAGAAAATGCAAACTCTCTTCAGTTTTGGCTTTCTCAGACAGATCCATTCTCAAACAGCTAGCCTGAAGACTAGAATTCTGAATACTTCAGAATGCTGGAATTTTGTCTGAGCCACCACACAGCTCTGATTCTAGGCTACTAAGACTGTTTCCAACCAAAAACTCTTTAAATAATGGAGTCAGTCTTACAAATACCCACTTAGATCCTTTTTAAGATTAAATTGTATTTCACAACTCTTTGTTTGCTTTCTATTTTATTATCAATGTAAATCCTGAAATCATTGTTTAAGTTCCTAATTTATATGCCACCCTATCCTTCTGAAAATAACTAAAAAATATTTAAGATGGGTCTAGTATTTTTCATCCTTCCTATCCTCAAGTAAATCATGAAAAACTAATTCTAAGGGTATTGTTCTAATGTTTCATTAAGCAATACAAAACAAACTTCTACTGAAGAGTTCAATAGTTTTAGAAGTAGTCAAAAGATTTCAGGCCAAATTACAGCATGTGGGCAAGGTTGCTCACATACAGAAGTCAAAGGACAACAACTATCGGGAACCAGTTCTCTCTACCATATGGTAAATGAGGGTCAAAATTGCTAGGCAAGGAATGTGATCGGTATCCTATGATACATACAGTAAATAATGCCTCAATGTCAGGTAGTCATCACCACCACCAAAACTCCAGAATGGTTAAGTGGAGCCAAATTACTGACTATAAGAGGTGTAAAAGGAAAAAAAGAAAAAACTTTATTTAATTTAACTTAGTTCGAGACAGAAGTTCTCTCTATAACAGTCCTGGCTCTCCTGGAACTTGCTTTGTATACCAGGTACGCCTCAAACTCAGAGATCCGCCTACCTCTGCCCAAGATTAAAAGCATGCACCACTGCCCTGCCTGTGATTAAACACTCTTAAAAATTAAATGTCACCAAAACACTGTCCCTGGGCAATTTGTAAATTGCTTGATTTGTCCTTTAAAGTTCTCTCATGCCCCCTCTACCATCCCTTGACAAGACCAGCATCAAATTCATGATCCTCTACTATTTACCTGTTTAAGGAGCTTGGCTATTTTACTTGTAGTTTCCAAAAATAACCAAGGATAAACAAAAAAAATTCAATGTGTGAGTGAGGTGGTACCTTTAATCCCAGTATTTGGGAGGCAGAAGCAAGCATGAGGCCAGCCTGGTCTACAGAGTCCAGGACAGCCAGATTTAGGGGGGTGGGGGTGGGAGACAACATGATCTGTTGTCCCTGGCCTCCCGTATCAAACGGCCTCAGCGGTAGAAGCCTCCCATAGCATGGGGAAATTACTGGCACCTTATCATTTAGATAAGGAGCCTAACACCTAAAATTTTCTAACTTTTAGTAGCACTCATACAAATCTCCAACCAAGACAGTATAGCTAGTTGTGTGTGGGGACACACAACTTTAATCCCAGTACTTGGTAGGCAGAGGCAGACTGGTGATCTGTGAGTTTGAGGCCAGAGAGGGTTCCAGGACAAGCTCCAAAGACAGAGAAACCCTGTGTCAAAAACAAAAAACAGTGATACTGCCAGGAATGGTAAAGGCAGAGACAGTTTCTCTAAGTTTGAGGCCAGCTTGGTCAAAAATCAGGAGTTCCCTGATAACCAAGGCTATGTAGACTTGTCTCAGTGACAGTAACAACATCAGTAAAGAAAATGTTGTAACATTTTTAAAGCAAAACAAACCCTTGGTTTACTTTACTACTCTCCAGCAGTAAGGATGAGCCAGTATAGAAAACTACAGGATATACATGAGGCTCACAAATATTATGCATCTGAGAGACAATGGGGTTCAGTGAAGTATTCACCATGAAAGCACCAGGACCCATCAACACTAGATAGATAGGTCTGGAAAGATGGTTCAGAGGTTAAGAGCACTCACTGACTGCTCTTCCAGGTCCTGAGTTCAATTCCCAGCAACCACATGGTGGCTCACAACCATCTATAAGGAGATTTGGTGCCCTCTTCTGACATGCAGACACTACACTGCATTAATAAATCCTTTAAAAGGGGGGGGGGGAGGCGGCCAGGCAGTGAGTGGTGCATGCCACCTTTAATCCCAGTGCCAGGAAGGCAATCAGGCAAATCTGGGTGAGACCAAACTGGTCTATATAGACATCGGGACTATACAGAGAAATTCTGTCATGGGCTGTTTGTATTTTGCCTCCTGTGCATCTTTTCTCTGTCTTCACTCTGGTAGTAGTGAAGTTGTTAACCTTTCCAGAGGTTAACAATGAGCTGCCTGTATGCTGACAAAAGCAGGGTTTTGTTGTTGGTTTTTTTAGGTTTTGAGACAGGGATGTGCCTTGTAGCCCTGGCTGACCTGAAACTCACTCTGTAGACCAGGCTGGCCTTGAACTTGAGAGCTTCTGCTTCTGTCTCCCAAATGCTGGGATTGAATAAAGTAGTGTGCTATCACTACCCAGCTTAAAAAGTGCCACTTTAATTGCAAACCTCATTTTGATTGGCCTGTGTATTAACATAAACATTTAATACCAGAGGTGATGAACCTCAGGTCTACCAGGCTACATGTTAAATAGAGGGAAAAAAAAACCCAAATATTAATGATCACCCTTGAGGGGAGGGGAAGTTGGGTAGCAGTGGTGCATACCTTTAATCCCAGCACTCAGGAGAGGCAGAGATTCCAGAACCCTTGAGTTCAAGGTCAGCATGTTCTACAGAGTGAATTCTAGAAGAGCTAGGGCTATACAGACCCCTGTCTCAAAAACAGAGCCCAGAACCCAGAGGTGCAGAGGTATAGTATACTCTTGCCCAAGGAAAATGCTGCTAGCTAGACCTAGGTCCTGACTGGGGAAATAAATTGATTGATTGATTGATTGATTGTATTTTGAGGTAGGGTTTCTTCTCTGTGGCTTGGGAGGCTGTCCTGAAACTAGAACTGTCTTAAACTCAGAGATCCCCCTGCCTCTGCCTTCCCAGTGCTGGGTGTCAAGGCATATGACCCCACCACCGGGTGGGGAAGTAAAATTTTAAAGCAAGGCAAACAATGTTAACCTTCCTCTACATGTATGTGCACATACCCACACACAATAAACATAATACAACTAATGTTCTTGTACTGGGGACATGGGCATGGAAGCTTGCCTACCTAGCATGCACAAATCCTTTGGACTACCCAATACCTCTATAAACTGGGCATGTTTGCAAATGCCTATCATTTCAACAATCCAAAGACAAAAGGCTAAATGATTCTTAATTGTATGTGCAACTGACAAACAGTCCACAGAAGAAATAACAGATGACCTCATTCTCAACCTGTAACTCCAGCTCCATGGAGACAACTATTTACTGGCTTTAAGCAGGAACCTAACCTACATTCACATAAACACACTCACACAGACACCTACCTAGTTAAATAGCAACAATTTAAAAGAACTACTCCTTTTAAAATAACACAAAACACATTGTAACCATGAAGTAAAAATGTGGAAATTAGCCAGGAATGAGAAATAGTTACCAATCTAACCATTTAACACAGACACACACTAACCTTACCTTGACAGACGTTACACATTATAGACACAATAACATGGCTTTTAAGAAATCAGCCTGATGGCGCACGCCTTTAATCCCAGCATTTGGGAGGCAGAGGCAGGTGGATCTCTGTGAGTTCGAGACCAGCCTGGTCTACCAGAGCTAGCTCCAGGACAGCCTCCATAGCCACAGAGAAACCCTGTCTCGAAAAACAAACAAACAAAAAGCACAAATTCAATGTATCACATCTGTAATTATGCTGGAGCAAGAAGACTCAATAAGGCAAGCCTGGGCTACCAGAATAAACAACTGAGGAAAATGAGAGAATGCTCAGTACTAGGCAAACTGATAGATTTTAATTCTTATATTTAAAAATACTAAGGGTACACCACCTTAGAGCTATAGCCTAGCTAGAACCTTGAGCATGTTAAGCATATACTCTACCACTGAGCTTTTTACCTGTGTGCCTGAGAATTCTGAGTTAAAGCAATGGGAAGGTAGTTCCACATTTTTGTTTTGTTTTTCAAGACAGGGTTTTCTATGTGTAGCCCTGTCTCTTCTACAGCTTGCTCTGTAGACCAGGCTGACCGCAGACTCAAAGATCTGCCTGCCTCTGCCTCCCCAGTGCACACTGCTGAGGGATAACAAGTCATCATCAGTAGTTAAAATTATCTATGAAAAGTGTGTGTACTGCTATAATCTGAAATGTGCCACCTATTGCTGCATGTTGGTATGACTGTTATGGAAGTAACTTTCTCATTGGGTTTGAAATCATTCTCAATCTTGTACTGTAAAACCTGCCCAAAAGACCAGACTGGGAAAGTTATAGGCAAGTGAGAATAAAACTCATGAATCCTCAAGAAATATCAAAAAAGAAGTTTTTATATTACAGAAAAGAACTGGTCTTTTCCAGGTATTACACAGCCAGACGTTAAGTCACAAGCATCACACATGAATGGGTCAAT